GACAAGTTTGAAACGAGGTCTGACAATAGTAGTTTTATCTTCTGCTTGCAGTCTGTACATTTTGCCATGTTTGCCTAAAACTTCATAATATTCTCTTGTATACTTTCTTCTATTTTTACGAACACGAAGGTGAGTACCTGTCGAGTTCCCATTGTTGTCATAGTCAATAGTATTTTCATATGGGTCGCGTTTAGGTATTTCTATTTTTACTTTGTCACCTTTCTGAAGTTTGAAGCCTGGCATTCTTTCTTGTTTGTCTCTTTTGACTAAACTATTAAATATATAGTCTTTCTCTAAGTCAGGGTTGTTTTTCATTTCTTCAGGGGAGTGGTTTCCCAAACCTTTTTGTTTACGGCTATTGTAAATATTTAAAACTTGTCTCATCTTTGCCATGGAGAAATGTCTATACTTGTCGTCATATGACATTTCATCTACCTCGCCGCCTTGTGGTTGGTTTAAGTCTCTTAAGATTTTTATACAACTGTCAATGACACCAAGAGCAGAATGGTTTTGGTCGACAATGAAATATTGGTTTACATTTTTTGAACGCAGATAGTTTTTAATATCGTCTGATTTGAAAAGAACTTTCACAGTCAGATGTCAGTTTTGTTGGATGGTATTTGTCAACGAATATTGTCAAAGCAGTTTTCACATCTAAAATATTTTTGGACTGTAATGGTATGGCTTCACAGTATCTTGTTGTTTTGACCAACAAATATTAGCCAGTATGGTGGTCCATCTTCTCTATACCTCGGAATGTTTTCCAAGATATCCATAAACCAAGCATTTGGTGTTGAACTAAAGATTTTTATCATGAGTGCTTTCTTTGTCGCTTTAGAAACATAGGGGTCCTTGTTCGGATTCGTCATTTTTTACCCTATAAGAAATGGGTTTATTTGGCGCATTAGCAGGAGTTGCATCCAGATTTTTGCCCGCAGTTGGAACAATAGCCAGAGGTGTATTTGGAGTTGGAAGGAAGATTTTGAGTACATTAGGTATACTGAAAGAGAAAGCACAACCTATTATACAAACCGTACAGAAAGGTTGGGAGGTAGCACGAGATGCAGCAAATCTTATTCCAAATCCTGAAACAAGAGGAAAAGTTCAAGGATGGATGGACAATGTAGGAAGACAAGCAGGAAACTACTATAACAAAGCAAATGACTACTATAACCAAGCAGGACACTATATGGACCAAGGTGAAAGATTCTTTAACAGAGGATATAACCATGCACAACAATGGGTAAACAACAACCAACCTCAACCGCCTCAAACTTGGGGAATGTAAAATTTTTTACTGAGATGAAATGAACAATACAGCATTGAGACAAATGGGCTCAAGATGGATTTGTCGGCTTCCAGCAGTTACACAACCACGTGTTTGTCAAGTTCTTCCTATACCTCAGGAAGTTTTAGACCGACTTAAAAAACCTAAACAACCAGTTGAAAACAAAACAAACTAAATTTTTACTGAGATGAAATGACCGAAGAAGTTGAAACGGTAGATTTGACACCACAAACAAAAAGTTCAGAACCATTGTCAAAACCTGTCAAAGAACTTACAGATGAAGAGAAAAATTCAATAATAGAAAGTGCCAGGTCTGGAAATACAAACCCTAACTACAAAGTCACTTTTCATAGAAATGGAACGGCTAGTATCTCAAAAAAGAAACAGACTCTCACAAATAAAATATTGAAGTCTGAAGGAGCTTTCGAGACAACAGATGGAAAAGTTTACTTCACTGACGAACAGTTCATTATAGAACATCTCATTGACTTAGAGTCAAAATATTCTAAACTTTACAACAAACACAAAAAGTTGAAAGGAAAACAAAAACAGATGGCATATGATATTTACGAAGATGTTGACAACACAACCATACCTGCAAGTGAGGTAAAGTCAGAGGAACCAAAAAGTGACGAAAAACCAATAGAAGAAGGTGAGCCAAAAACTGAAGATAAACCAAAACCAAAGTTTAGTCTCCAGACTAAACCAAGTCAACCTTCATTAGCTGGTATGGGTTGGCGTCAAAGACTTATGGTAGCTGGTGGTTATGTTAAGTAAAGGAAAAAACATTTTTTCAAAAAATATATTTTTTTATTTTTATAAAAATGTACGCTGAGTTTGTTGGAGAAGACCGTTGGGAAACTTGTTTGTTAGATGAGAAATATGAAATTCACTGTTGTGAGTCATTTGAAGTCAGAAACAAAAAGACAAAAAGAGTTTTAAGCGAATGGGAGCAAAATAACGGATATGCTAGGATGAGGATTGGTGGAAAACACTATTTTAAACATGTTGTCATTGCAACTCATTTTATACCGAACCCTAACAATTTACCTTTTGTAGACCATATAAACCATATAAGAAACGACAATAGACTTGAAAATTTACGTTGGGTTACTTGTTCTGAAAACAGTAAGAACAGAGGCAAAATTAGAGATATTGTATTCGAATTTGTCGACGAACTAGAAGATGAAACAATTGAAATTACAGACTATGGTAAGCATACGTTTGAGTTTTACTACTATAGCGAAGAACAGGACTCTTTCTACCTTTATACCGGCGTAAACTATAGAAAATTACAAGTATGTTTTACTAATGGCTATGCTTATGTAAACGCTAGAGATACAGATGGAAAAAACGTTAAAATACTTCTTAACAAATTCAAGAAGCTATATGGCATACCATTTTAAAACATTTTTTTAAAAAAAATATTTTTTTATCGATAGAAAAGATGACGAAATATATTTCAGTCAACAAATATATGACAGAAGTCAAAGATAAGTTAGCTCCATTCACATATTTGAATGTTTACTTCTACCATTTTGAAAAGTCTACATTTGACAAAGTTTGGAACATCGAACCAGTTAAGTTTGCTATTGTGACTAAAAATGGTGCGAAATTTGAAGACTTAGACATAGAAGGTTTGTTAGCAGTCAAAGAAAATTTTGACAGAAGGTTTTCAAACCTTAAAGAAGGCAAAGCATACAAACTTGTTATACCTTATGAACCAAAGAAAGCAGACGACTATGAATATTATGAGTCTAAGATAGTTGAAGTTCAAGGTAAATTGGGTAAAAAGATTTAGAGTCTAAGCCGGTGTTTGCTCCTAAAGAGGAAGAGAACATTGACATTGACCCAGAAATGTTTCTAAAAATAAAATTTTATTTTTACATGTCAAATTTCTTTTTCTCTGGAACTGGTTCAGGTTCTTTCTTCTCTTCTTCTACTTTCTTTTCTTTCTTCTCTCTTCTTCTTCTTCTCTGGTGGAGTTATGTCAAACTTCTCAGAACCATATTTTTGTAAAAGTTCTTTGTCCTTTAATAGCTCTTCTATTCTGTTTCCTATTTCATCTTCAAGAACAGCGCATGTGTCTTCTTTGCATTCTAAGAACTTTTGTTGGACTTCATCTTTCCAATCGGCGTCATCTCTGTCAACAAGTCTGTCATTGACAAACTTAAAGACTTCTCTGCCTAATGTTTTATGGTTCTTGTCATATTCCCAGAAACAGAACTTTAGAACAAATTCACCTTTCTTGTTTACACTATGTAAGATTTTATGGTCGACAGATGTTTTGCTGTCAAAAAGCTTGTCTCGAATATAGATAGCGAAATCGCTAGACATTTTCAAAAAGATAAAAATTTTAATTTTTCTAAAAATATGTTAGAAAAAAAGTTTGCTGACATTGACAAGAAATTTGAGAATGTTTTAAACAAGAACAAGAGGAAGTTAGAAAATGCTCAGATAAAACCCATACATGACAAGTTCTTATTTGCTCAGAATGGTATAACAGGTCTAATTGCACCACCTGGGTCGGGTAAGACTTTCACTTATCTTAAAATGGCTGCACAACAACAAGAACTAGATGAGAAGAACCCATTCTATGAGTTAGTTGTCATTTGTTCGACATCTGGTCAATTTGACCAAACCGTAAATTCGTTCAAAGATATTATAAAGAAGTCTAAGTTAGTATGTATAAAGGATACTGAGTTGTTAGATTGGATAAAGAAGTACCAAAGAAGAGTTTTGAAGTACAATGCTATAAATGAGTATGTCAATTCTAAGTTTAAAGACCCAAATGAGGAAATGCAGAGAATATTAGAGAAGAAACACTTCAGAAACAAACAGAAAGAGATAGAATACATTTCGAAGAAATTGCAATCTTACGATTGGAAGACTTACCCTCACAGATGTCTTCTTATCTTAGATGACTTTGCTTCTCATCCTTTGTTAAAGAACAGAGAACAAGACATGTGTCGAATTCTCAAGAAGCTCAGACACTTTAACATCTCTGTTGTCATTTGTGTACAGACAGCCAAGAGTTTAAGTAAGGATGTAAAGAGAATACTGACTGACATAATACTTTTCCCTGGATTGTCCGAAGACGATTTCATGGAACTTATGAAAGAGTCCATGGCAGGTAAGTTTGACAGACATGAACTATGGGAGAAGTATAAAGTCATACAAGACCCTCATACTTCTTTCAGAATTCACATCTACGCGAACAAAGTTCAAATTGTAAAAAGTCAAGCTTGAAAAATGTAAGTGTTTAGTCTTAGTCTGTTGTGGTGCTGGGGCTGTCGGTTCTTCTGGCTTTGGAAGACATTCAGGAAGAGGAACGTCGGACATTCGTTTGTGTCCTGTCGGAAGGAAGGACTTTTCCTGTTGGAAGGAAGGACTCGGAATGTCGGAAGGAAGGACTCGGAATGTCGGAAGGAAAAACTCGGAATGTCGGAAGGAAAAACTTTTTCTGAAGTTCGACCAAAAAGTTCTCAATTTTCGAAAATTTGAATGGTTTACGGACGAACAACAGGAAATTTTTTTCCAGTTGTCGGGAAATTTTTTTCCAGTTGTCGGGAAATTTTTTTCTTGTCTGAAGGAAGAACTTGGAATGTCGGATGGAAGGACTCGGAATGCCAGAAGGATTTGACGAGGCAATTGACCTTATAGAGCTACCTGAGCCATCTTTGGTGTCAAGCTTGAAAAATAAAGAGTTCATTTACTCTGCTTGTTTGAAGTTGTCAAAATACTCTGTTATCTTTTCCTTCAGTAGCGGTAAATCTTCTTTGAATGTAAGTATTGTACAACCTTTCATATCATAGTGTGTTTGAGGTAACGTATCTTGAACTATCTGTTTAACATCTTCATTTGGTGTCATTGAAATCGGTAAGTTTTCGCGATAGAACCAATTTCTGTCAGATTTGTAAATCTTAGCTAAGTCGTAAAAGCTTTTGTTGTTTCTTCTGACTAAATGCAACATAACCATATCTCTGTCTTCTTCATTTTCCATCTCTTCAGTGTAAATCATATACTTATAGTTCTTTTCCTTTCCTTTTGGTACCGAACGTGGTATTCTTTTCTGTATGTTTTTGTCTTTTGCTTCAAGCTTGTTTTCCATCTCTTCACGTTCTTGTCTATGAATTTCGTCAAGAAGTTTACAAACATACCAAGCATAACGAGGCGAAGCCCACATTGCAACAGCATTTACAAGAAGTCTATGTACATACCAACCTCTCAAACCGTTTGGCAATTTTTCACGATTTTCATGAGTTTTAGGCGAGTAAGATTTTTTACTTACTCGCTGTTCTTCACTGTTTTCAGAAAAAAAGTATGTCTCGCTGTGCTTCGCTCAAAAATTCTTGTGTGCTTTGGTTCCTAAACCAGTCTTGTGGTTTCTTAGTATCTGGAGCAAAACATGCTGTCAAAATACTTTGCATTTGGTACATATCGTCTTTGACCGAACGAATGAGACGGAGTTGTTTGTTAAACTGAACCCACTCATATTCTTCATTTTATAGCTTCATGAACGATAGCAGTTGTTGTGTTCTCTGTTGTTGACATATCTGTCCTTACATACAAAATAAAAAAATAAAAAAAAATAAAATTAACTTTATTTTCTATCTTGTATAAAAGACCAAAAATAAACGCTTTACATGTATTTTTCAGCAACTTCGTCAAATAATTTTATAGCACTATCTATCTCATCTACTTCAAACGTTTCTTTACCTTTTATGGGAGCACCATACATTTTCTCAAACTTTTCAAGTAGTTCTGTTTCTGCAGCTCTCATATCGTTAACAAACACAACCTTGACTCTATTGACTGTACTGTCATATCTTTTAGTTATATTAAATGTTCTTCCTATCTTATATCTCTTTGTATTGAAGTCCTTCGGTTTCTGAACGATATAAAGTAAGCCTTCACTGCAACGTTCAGTATCGAATGAACCATATGTTATGAAATTATATCCAACAACTGGGTCAATCCAGAACAAAACTAGTGGTATAAGACTTTTGTCTATAAGATATGCTGTAGTTCCATGAAATCTTACCGATATCAAAAGCTCAGGATTTCTTGTCAAAATTTTCTGACTAGAAGCATTTCTAACCCAGTCCTTTGCTCTCTTTCCAGATGGTGTTAAAATGTCTGACAAAGAATATTTTTTGTATTTCTTTGAGTATCTTACGTTTAAATCACCAATTCTAACCACTTTGGTCTCATTGTCTATCTTTTTAACTGTTTCAAACTCAGTGTTTGTCATTTCCTGTTCTTACATACAAAATAAAAAAAATATTTTAAAAAAACTAGCTTTTATTTTATTTTTTCTATCTTGTATAAAAGATATGATTTCATAGAATTTTTTTACGAAGTGTAAAAGTTCTCTTCGTCAAAAATAACAGTTATATAATGAAATTTGGTCATTTTTTCAGCAAAAATATATTTTAGGTGAAGAGGTGAGATTTCACCTGTTTTTTCACCTAATTTTTCACCTCATGAATTTTCATGATTTCATCGTACATGTTTTGTCAAGACTTCTTCGTACATGAATTTTCATGATTTCATCGTAAATGTTTTGTCAAAACTTCTTCGTAATGAGCGTAAATGACCCAAAAATATATTTTAGGTGAAGAGGTGAGATTTCACCTCTTTTTTCACCTGTTATTTTATAAGCGTTTTACATGAATTGTATGATGTATATTTGAAATCCTAAACAGTTTTGTAGCTTCTATTTCTTCTGTCAGTATATCGAATGTTTTAACGATACCGAAAGTTTCTTTATACTTCTTCTTGACGTCAGATAATAGGAAATCGTCAGCAGTTGGATAGTTTTTGTTCAGAAATTCTAACATGTCCATTTTATTTTCTGCTGGCTTTTCTGCTTCTTTCTTTAAATCTGCATAGTCGTTTCTCATTCTTTCTATCTCTTTGACGGAGTAGTTATATTTCCTCATTGCTGCTTTACATTTTGAACATTGCGGGTTCATTTTTGCATTGTACATTGAAACCTTACCTGCTAAAACAACTAAGGCGTCAATGGTTTTCTTTAACTCAAAAGTTGCGGGTTTTATTTGTCCGTTCCATACCTTACCTCTTCTATCTTTATCTCTTATTTCCCATACACATTTTGCAGCTAACGAAACAAAGTTGTCGTAGGTCTTAAACTCCCCAGATTTATATATGTCAGAAACATTCTTATATACCATGTCGCAATCTTTGTCCATAACTTTATGGTTGCAATGAAATCCTAGAAACTCATAGTTTACCTTTCGTATGAACTTCTTTATTTCTACTGAGTCAGTTGCTTTGACTTCTATTTCATCGAATTCAGGAATAGTAAGCTTTTGTTGTTGGATTTCAGGAAGTTTAGGTAGATGGTCAATAATATCCTGCATTTCATAAAGATACTGTTCATTTGTTTCATCTTTCGCACTACAGTCTAAATTACTTGTTAACAATTCCTGCTTTATCTTCTGGATTTTTGTTTCGAAAGTATATGAAGAAGGAATGAAGCTTTTCATCTCTACCAACATTGAAGTTGGGTTCATGACTAACGAGTTTGGTGCTGTAGTTGTTTGTATTGTTGTTGTGCCGATTGTTGACATTTCTGTTCTTACATACAAAATAAAAAAATAAATAAAAATAAAACTAACTTTATTTTTTCTATCTTAAGGAAATTCATGAAAATTCATGAAAATTCATGAAAATTCACGAGGGTGAAAAAACAGGTGAAAAAAGAGGTGAAATCTCACCTCTTCACCTAAACATTATTTTTCGGTCATTTACGCTCATTACGATGAAGTCTTGACAAAACATTTACGAAGAAGTTTCGACAAAACATATACGATGAAATCATGAGGTGAGAAAACAGGTGAGAAAACGGGTGAAATCTCACCTGGTCGCCTAAAATATATTTTTTTCTATCTTAAGGAAATTCATGAAAATTCACCTGTTGTTACTATAAAAGCAACCCGCTGTTTTCCGCGGGTTGGTATATTCTTCACAAAATGCTTGTTTTGAGGTCGAGCCACTTTTGGCTCCACCTCTTTTTTCAACCAAAAACTCATTTTTGTCGAATTCAGCACAAAATTCATGAAAATTCATGAGGGTAGAAAAGAGGGTAGAAGACAGGTTACATCTAACCATCTACCCTAAAATATATTTTTCAATACTTTTTCAGCACTTCTCCGTAGTTATATATGAAAGACAATTCGAGATAAAAGTCGTAGTACAATGGAACAATATGTTGCACACCATTTGTTGTGAACCAAACTTGAAAGTCAGAGAAACTGTTACTAGGTGGTTCGTAGAATTTAGAAGCAAAGTCATAAAAGTCCTTACCAATACAAAGAAAACTATTGTTGCTTGAACTGAAACTTGCATGACACATGACATTTTGAGGGTCAAACACGTTTCTATAAACTATCAAATCTGTTGGTGGGCGTATAAACCAGAACGGACCGTCAGGTGGTAATGGTTCGTTCTGGTTTAGTAACCGAAGAAATTGTGCCCAAGAACGTTTGTCTACTTGCCAAAATAAAAACTGTGTATCTCTTGGAGGGTTAATTTCAATCTTTTGAAATGAAACGGTGGAGTTCATCTTGTCATATTCTAGTTTCAGATAGTATGTTCCATTTAGTAAAGAGTCGTATTTTTCTTGAAATTCCCAATAATATTTGTTTATTTGAGTTTGAAAGTCATTTAGAGTCTTCTCAAGACTTTCGTCTGAACGAACCGTAAAGATTCTCATTTCGTCAAATTTGTCTAGTAGACCGTCAGAACCTCTATACTGACCGTGAAAATATACTGCAAACATAAACGCGTTAGTTCTTTTTGAAAACAAAACTCTTCTAAATCCTATTGCCTTTGCATCTGAAGGACTTTGAAGCCAACGAATTGGAAAGTCAAAGCGGTAGGAGCCGGATGAAATTTCTTCATCTGATATAGTCCTACCGGCATTTGTGAAGATATAGTCTAACGGTTTTGTATCTGCTACTTTTGTTCTTTGTTTTTCAACCTGAAACATTTAATATATGTAAAAATATACTGTTTTTAAAAAATGTTTTAAAATGGTATGCCATATAGCTTCTTGAATTTGTTGAGAAATATATGAACGTGTTTTCCATCTGTATCTCTAGTGTTTACATAAGCATAGCCCGCCTTAGTAAAACATACTTGTAATTTTCTATAGTTTACGCCGGTATAAAGGTAGAAAGAGTCCTGTTCTTCGCTATAGTAGTAAAACTCAAACGTATGCTTACCATAGTCTGTAATTTCAATTGCTTCATCTTCTAGTTCGTCGACAAATTCGAATACAATATCTCTAAATTTGCCTATGTTCTTACTGTTTTCAGAACAAGTGACCCAGCGTAAGTTTTCAAGTCTATTGTCGTTTCTTATATGGTTTATGTGGTCTACAAAAGGTAGATTGTTAGGATTCGGTATAAAATGAGTTGCAATGACAACATGTTTAAAATAGTGTTTTCCACCAATCCTCATCCTAGCATATCCGTCATTTTGCTCCCATTCGCTTAAAACTCTTTTTGTCTTTTTGTTTCTGACTTCAAATGACTCACAACAGTGAATTTCATATTTCTCATCTAACAAACAAGTTTCCCAACGGTCTTCTCCAACAAACTCAGCGTACATTTTTATAAAAATAAAAAAATATATTTTTTTGAAAAAATTTTTTCCTTTACTTAACATAACCACCAGCTACCATAAGTCTTTGACGCCAACCCATACCAGCTAATGAAGGTTGACTTGGTTTAGTCTGGAGACTAAACTTTGGTTTTGGTTTATCTTCAGTTTTTGGCTCACCTTCTTCTATTGGTTTTTTCGTCACTTTTTGGTTCCTCTGACTTTACCTCACTTGCAGGTATGGTTGTGTTGTCAACATCTTCGTAAATATCATATGCCATCTGTTTTGTTTCCTTTCAACTTTTTGTGTTTGTTGTAAAGTTTAGAATATTTTGACTCTAAGTCAATGAGATGTTCTATAATGAACTGTTCGTCAGTGAAGTAAACTTTTCCATCTGTTGTCTCGAAAGCTCCTTCAGACTTCAATATTTTATTTGTGAGAGTCTGTTTCTTTTTTGAGATACTAGCCGTTCCATTTCTATGAAAAGTGACTTTGTAGTTAGGGTTTGTATTTCCAGACCTGGCACTTTCTATTATTGAATTTTTCTCTTCATCTGTAAGTTCTTTGACAGTTTTGACAATGGTTCTGAACTTTTTGTTTGTGGTGTCAAATCTACCGTTTCAACTTCTTCGGTCATTTCATCTCAGTAAAAATTTTAGTTTGTTTTGTTT